TCCGCCTACAGCCATTTGGACTAGTTCATATTCTGGAATTTGAGTAAAACATCTCGACCTCATTTGTCGAAATCTACTTAGATAATCATCAATGGATTCGTTATGTATTCTTTTTATATTAACTAAATCCATTAAGCTAACTTTCGCTTCACCACGAAAGAATTGTTCATGAAACCTTCTTTCTAATTGATTCCAATTATGAATTGAATTCGGGGGTAAGGTTGTGAACCAAGTAAAGGCCCCCTTAGTCAAAGAACTAGGAAAATACTTCAACTTTAAATCTTCATTTCGAGCTAAATCTCCACATTCTATGGCATATCTAGCTATATGTTCTACTGTGGATTCACCGGAATCTCTGGCACATTTAGTGAATTTCGGGACTTTCCAGCCCCGAGGCAGTTCAGCCTGCAAAATTGCCTCAGAGAATGCTGAGACAAAGTAGGGTCTATTAGCATACCCTACGTCGAACCCATGTTGATTCAACACTTGTTTGACTACATTGGCAATATTTTGAGGATTCGGGTTGTTTAGATTTTGAATCTGATGCCACCCTACATTATTTTGCCTAACTTGCTCGAGTATTTCATCAACATTCTGATTTCGAGCAATAATAAAGGGTTGATTTCCCTGGAAATCACCCTTATTTTGTCTCGGAAGATTTTGGTCAAAATTTTGACCAATTTGCTCAAGTGGAGCATTTGGATTTCGAGCAAAAACTGGGGGTTGGTCCACTTGGAAATTTCTCTCATTTTGTCTCGGAAGATTTGGACCAAAATTTAGTCTATTTTGCTCAAAAATTTGACCATTTCGACCAAGATTTGTGGCATCTCGATTAGGTGTTTGGGCAACATTTTGCCCTTGCCTTATAAGGACTTGCGGTGCCCCAAAAACGTCAGCAATTCAATGCATTTGTTCAGCCAAAATTTGATAGCTGGTATTAGTCGTTTCCACTATGGGATTCAACACAGTGGTCATTTGATGGGTCAGCATATTGACCATCTCGTGATTGCTTTCATCCATTTGTTGCCTCATAGAATGTAAGGCAACATTCGAAAATGAGCTAGCAGGAAGTGAATCCTCACTCGAAGCTCCAAACGCAAATTGCGTTTCAGGTACTCCACCAATCGTACCCATTCCTGGTGGAATGGTATGGAGTACACCCATTTCCGGTGGAATGGTGTGACTCTGGGGTGACACGGTTGTCACCACAGGGTTGGAGTAGGTTGATACTTCAAAAATAGGCGGCATACACACAGGAGGTTAGCCAAATGAATGATCACCCAGCCTTGGCCTTGGGCCAGGATTTATGCTGGCATTGGTTGGTGGCATAGTAACCATAAATTGGCCAACTACGGGAGATGACGGCGTAGGTAACGCTGTTGTTAGTGTGGGTTGTGCGGCAGTAGTAGTACTGCTGCTTACATTTTCTGGGTTGGTATCACTACCATTACTTCTAGAATTGCCATTCCCAGAACTAGAATCATTATTTCTTCCTCTATTAGCCATAATACAACGTCCATTATGTAATATCATGCAACAAAGCAATCAATCATTCAAAACACACAATATAGTCCCACTGGGCGTGCCAATTTGTTTACGGTGAAAAATGACAATTGTAAACAAATAATCCAAAGATCAATCTGGGGACTGGATTTAGGTCCTCTTTAAGTTCTTTTAAGTGTGTTGTTAACGTGATGCTCAAATTAACGGCGTAAAAGAGTACTAAGCAAGGATAGGGAATAGTATTATGCAAAATTGAATCAAACGTAGATGCTTTTACAAAAATGTAATGAACAGGAAACAAACAGCATACAAAGATATAAGCAACAAGCACTGAAATTAAAATGCAGAAAGGTAAATGCGGGAATGTAAAGGTGCTGGAATGTAAACGTACGACTCCTCACAACGACGAACAACGACCACCGTGGGTCTCTTTGTAGCTGGTGTCTGGCGCAGTGCAGGGTTTCAACGTCTCAGAGTGTTTAAGTGCGGTGTCTGGGTGCAAAAAGTCGTCCTTTGTGAAATAGTGCTTTGGAGTATTTATAGACATGAAGATCACCACCGTTTTCCTCCTTTTGCGGGCACTTCTTAGTAACTACCTTCAACTGTTGATACTCATTATCCACGATTGCTTGTGATCGTGTTGTTGGTTGGGGCTTCTTTTGTAACCGCTATCGCCCATGATCTCCTTTGCGTAGTGGTGAATGTTGATAACTACTGGTAACCACTTTTGGATTTTTCAAGACTCCTATCTTTCGAGTATTTCTGAGAGAAACCTAGGAGACTCCTTTAATGGCCTTAGAATAGTTTCTTCTTGACTTCTCTTTTCGAGCCATTCGGGAGTTTTGAGAGCCTGTCTTGGTCTTGTGGACTTAGAACATTTTCTTTGCTCATTTCTGTTTTTCGAGCAATTCGGGAAGGACTCTGGAGCTCGACAAGGTTTGTGGACGTAGAATATTTTCTGACCACTTCTTATTTTTCGAGCAATTCTGGAGGAAATCTGGAGCTCAGCTAGGTTTGTAGACTTAGAATATTTTCTGACCACTTCCTGTTTTTCGAGCAGTTTTGGGTGTCAGGGACCTGGAAACTCCTCAAAAACTCCTCGAAAAACCATCAGTTTTTGTGGACTTAGAATATTTTCCTGTTAGTCCTGTTTTTCGAGCAGTTTTAGGTGTCAAGGACTTGAAAACTCTTCCAAAACTCCTCGAAAAGCCATCAATTTTGTGAACTTAGAATATTTTCTTGTCAGTTCTATTTTTCGAGTAGTTTTGGGTGTCAGTGACTTGAAAACTCCTCAAAACTTCTCGAACAAAAAAAGCCTTTAGTTTTGTGGTCTTAGAATATTTTCTTGTCTTTCAAACAGTTTAGAGAAAAATCAGCAATGTGACAAAAATCTCCTAAAATAGCTCGAAATGTGTCCCTTTTAATTAAAACTAAAGATCTTAGATAATCTTCCAATATTCTCTTATGTTCAGGCTTATCTTTGGCTCCTTCTTGACCCCCAAAACTCGTTGAAATGTAGTTTCCTTCTAGATGATTTTTAACTTAGAAAATTTTCTTTATCCCAAACAACGGGAGTCAGAATAGATGAATAGATGTAATTGCAATATAGGTATTGTGGTAGATCCAAGGACGTACTCATAATATATGTATTGTAATACACCAAATTATTTGGTTAAGGCTCAAGTATTATGACTCGTTGCTCTATAAAAGAGCGTGGAAAAAATGAGAAATGTGGTGGTAAGTTTAGATAGCTACAATGATACAACTGGAGGTATAGAGTCTAGAGAAGATTTGAAAAATCTTGGAGAAATGAGAGTGGTGAATGCTTGTGTGAATAGTGCACAACGATTTGCCGAAAATAAAAGCATTCATAGGCCATACACTCATTTCCTCACGAGACTCCTGACTATACCTTTGCTAGAAGGAGCTGGGTCGGCACACGTGTATTCATGTTGCTACGACTAACCGGCGGCTATCTAAGCTATGAAGTCTTCAAAGGATCTTAGGGGCATTGAATGTAAATGTGGAAAGAATGTGAAAGGGTGATGTGCATGAGATAGTATAGAAATGGTGCAGTTAAAATATATGCATTGTGTCATTTTGGTTGATGTTGTCGTGATATATGTGTTGTAATACATCGACGAGTGTGATTGGGACACATGTGTAGTGACATATCGATTGACGTGATGTAAAGCATTGACGTGCATGATAGTAAACAGATGCATGTTATGAAAGTTAGCAAACATAATTGGTTGTTTATCTTGCATGTATTATTCTGTGATAGTAAGACGTGTGATTTGAGTGTTATTGTGAATTAATCCCTGTTGATTGGTGTTATCAAGTATGATATATGTATATGAGTATTTATTTATGTTAAACCAAAGATTTAGTGGGACAAAAAATACTCACCCATACTAATATTTTCAGGTGATGAATGTCAAGAGAGAAAGGTGTTTGTCCATCCTAGAATCATAGTCCAATGGTATTGAAGAGAATGTTATTTTGTAGAGATTAGAAATGTTTGAGAAATTGTACTATTTTATTTAAATTGTAATTTGTGATAACTAAATTGTGTAAAGGATTTCAAATGCCAAATTTAGAATTTATGGTACTTAGGTCAATTTCGTTGAAATTATTTCATTATCGTCCTTAGCAAAAATTCCAATTTTATATGTATTCATAATGAGCTACATGTTTTGTTAAAAATAAAGTTAAATTTTATCTAATTATTTCAAGTTTCAAAATTTTACCCTTGAAATAATATGAAACTTTTACAAAAAAAAATTTGTAAATTTTGTTATTATGGAATTTGAGAGTGAAACTAAGTAAATTATTTTATATTCACATAAAAATTGTTTATTTAAATAAAGAAAATGAAGGTATTACAAAACATACGTCAATAATACTTTAACAAAAAACTAAAATTGATTAAGTTGTAATGTATTTTATTTTATTTTTTGATATTTTAATGTATTTTATTTTGTTTAAAAGAAAAGTTATTTTAGGTAGAAAAAGATTAATTACAGTACATAACTTATAAGAACTCTATCAGATAAAATATTTTTATAAACCATTTATTATTAATTTTTATTTATATGAAAATGTCTTCTAACGAAAATAATTTGATTGAATAAGACAGATGTAAAAAGTAAATTTTATTTAAATAGAATAAGATAATTGAGTAAAACTACTGTAAAAAAAATAATTATATTTATTAAAAATTGAAAGTAAACTTTTATTATTTAGTGTGTCCATATTTTAAGTTTACGATGCATAAAAAATGAAAAAAATTAATTACATAGAAAAATAACACCTATATTAAACTGTAATTTACTTTAAAAGAAATTATCTAGTCTTAAACTTGGTTCCAATTATCATGGACCGTTGTCCGTTTATTATTTAGCGGGGCGCATTTTAAGCGTACGATAAACGACGTCGTATAGAAAACAAGTATATCTGTATAAATTGGTGATAACCCTAGCCTCATTCGTGCTCTCATCTTCACAGAACGGCGCGCCGCACACTCGCACTGTGGCAGCATAGACGCGTTGGAATCTCAGATCCTTCTCTTCATCACTTCAACGAAATGGGTGAAGCTATGGAAAGTGAAGAAATACCCAAATACAGAGATATAAGACGCTATTTCTGCAAATATTGCGGCATCTGTAGGTCCAAAAAAACCATCATCACTTCTCACATCAATTCGCACCACAAGGTACCCTTTTTTTACTTTTTCCAGCAATTTTTTATGTATTCGAAACGGGTGTCTTAGTTTTTGAATGTAGAAGATTTTGCAAGCATAGTTGGTATAGGATCGCTTTAAATCCCATATCATTTTTATTTTATTTTTTTGTTTCTGTTTTCTTGTTGTTTATGGTTTGTGTTGTTGACTTTTGATGTGCTTTAGGAGGAGGTAGAAAAAGAAAGAGAAGAGAAAGATCCTGAAGCAGGGGCTGTGAAATCCAACACTTGTGAGGAATGTGGTGCTACTTTCAAAAAACACGCCTATTTGTTGCAGCATATGCGAAGTCATTCGCTTGAGGTACTTTCCAAGTTCCCACATTATTATTATTATTGTGGAAGGACTAGGTTTATGTTTTCACTTGATTGTATCAGTTGTTGTATGAACTGAAGGTGAATATTTTGCAGGAAAGTAATTTATAAGACAATAAAATGATTGAAAAACTATGGATGTTTAGTGTGAAGCATTGGATCCCAGACAAAGAACTCCAAAATGCGAGAGGCAGTGTGTTTCCACTTGATGGATCAGTATCAGGTTGGGAGACCTCCTGTGAAGCTCCATCAAGGATGCCTCGGTCACGCACTGTTCAAAATGAGGTTGGCAATTTGTTCATGTGTGTTGTTCTTCTCAAAGGGCGATAGCAAATTTTTCTAATTGTTTATCTTTTAATCGTCTCTAACACTTATTTTGTGATGGGTCCAGAGGCCGTATGTTTGCACTGTCAATGATTGTCAGGCAAGTTATCGAAGGAAGGACCACCTGACCCGGCACCTTCTACTGCATCAAGGGAAGACCTTTAAATGTCCTATTGATAATTGCAACCTTGAGTTCACTGTGCAAGGCAATATGAAAAGGCATGTGAATGAGATTCATGATGATAGTTCTATCAATGCTAGTGTTAAAAGTGAGCAGCAGTATTTGTGTCCTGAAATTGGCTGCGGAAAGGTTTTTAGATTTGCGTCGAAGCTGCAAAAGCATGAAGATTCTCATGGTAGGTTTTGTTTCTTTTGACTTTCTGTATGAGTAGGCAAAATTTTTGTGGGATGTTTGTAAAGTGCTCTCCTTTATTTAATTTTGTGAAAGATTTGGGGCACAATTTTGAAGAAAGCCTTTATTCTGCAGTTAAGCTGGAGTCGGTAGATGTAGTATGCTTAGAGCCTGGTTGCATGAAACATTTCACTAATGCCCAGTGCCTTAAAGCCCATGTTAAGTCCTGCCATCAATATGTGACCTGCGACACTTGTGGTACTAAACAACTAAAGAAGAATATTAAGCGTCACCTCTGTTCACATGAAGCAAACAGCTCATCAGAGACCTTTCACTGCGAATTTAAGGGCTGTGTTTGCACATTCTCAAAAGTAAAGATCTATTAATTCTGAGATCTGCTTGGTTTATACTCAAACTGAATTCTCAGTTTGAAACAGGTTGACCTTTGTTTAATTTTTTTGTTGGTTATGTGTATCAACAGAAATCTAATCTTGATAAGCATAAGAAGGCTGTGCACTTCAAGGAAAAACCTTTTGTCTGTGGATTTCCTGATTGTGGTATGAGATTTGCTTACAAACATGTGCGAGACAATCATGAAAAAACGGGGAAACATGTTTTTACTCTTGTAAGTTCTTTTGCCTTACAAGTCTAGTTGTGCAGAAGTTATCTGATAAGTGATTGCTTTGCCTTTTCATTTGCATTTAAATATTCATTTAGATTTTTTTTGGTACAGGGGGATTTTGAAAGAGCTGATGAACAATTCAGGTCAAGGTCAAGGGGAGGGAGGAAGAGAATATGTCCTACTGTTGAAATGTTGGTTAGGAAGAGAGTAACCCCACCTAGTCAATTGGAGGATTGGTTATTTATGCAGGATAGTGAGTAAGGTTTATGCTTTTGAGTTGTGTTCCGATAATAGTGAGCAAAATGTAAGTTTAATCCACTGTGAACCATAAGTAGAAAGTATATATACATTTATTGTTAGTATTACAGTTACGGGGGTGTAGCACAATAATGTGTAGGGATGATTGCTGCGACTACTTGTATTGTATATATACATTTATTATTAGTATTGTATGTATTGGCCAATCTATATTTGTATAGTGACTGCCACTTGTATGGCAGTTTGTAGCCTATGAATAAGACCAACTGTAATCACCAGACACCAATGGTTTTAATTTGGTTTTGAAAAGGACACAGATTCCCTTCCCCATCTTGTGTGAAGTTTGATTTTTAAACTATCCTGACTCTTAAATCAAGAGATGTTTAAATGTTTCAATATTTTAATTTCGTAAATACAAAATTTGGTTAATTTTCTTATAATGTTTTAATCATATTAATAAATTAATAGTTTGTTTTATATTGAGTGGCGAGTTCTGCAACTAGGTGAAGATCACACCAACCATGGGACCATAGAAGAAAAGTTCAAGATTTAGAAATTAGCAAGCACGGTGATGGAAAGAGTATCATTTTCTTGAAACGATTACTAGAAAAATCATCCATTGTAAGGTTTAAATTAATTGTTTTGTTAATTTTAGTCCTAAAATTTGAGTTTAAGCATTTATAAATAAAAAAATTTTATAAAAAAAATATAGTTGTTGTATTAAAGTTATAAAAATATAATGAATATTTTCTTAATAAAATTTGACTATTATTAGTTATTATTTAAAGAGTTAGTGTGTCTATCTTAAAAGAAAATGAGAGAAAATGGTCAAAGTTTTGAGCTTGGTCAAGTGAATAATGATGCGGTATGGAGTGGGAAATTGTAATTTACTTCAGAAGTGTTGGTAGAATTGCATCAGTTGGACAACTTTGCAATAGTTCTGCTATGTTCAATAGTTTCTTCATATCCCGTCAATCGAGGAAGCTGTCTACACATTAACAAAGCTTGTTAGTGTATAATTTATTTTCGGGAGCATCTTGTGGTTGTGATAGCATTTTGAGTAATCACAGGATGCTGCAACTGTAAATGAGTGAAGTTTTTCCTAGTTAAAAGAAAATACATGGAATGGACATATTGAAGCAGAAAGTGGAACTTTTGACTGATACATAAGAATGTAGAATGATTGGAAGAACCATTGTATGTGAAGTCTATGGGAAACATGTTGTCCCCTGCATCATAGGCTAATCTAATTGTTGTTTTGTTTAATGCATCGTATTCGTATTATCCTAACAGTGATAGGGTGAGCTCCATTTTTTTATAACCAAGAAGAAAGGCACAAAATGTAACTCCATTTCACTATAGGTAGCCCAAGGGAAACATTAGCCCAGTCAAAATGCATTAGAATAGAAAACATATGAATATGATACGTATGCAGGGTGCATCACTTCCAACTGGACTAGCTTTTCGATGACCCAAAAAAGAAAAACAAGAGGACTAGTTTCCTATGATAAAAATTGAAAATAATACATGTCAGTTTAAAATTAACTGTTATACCATGATAAAATAAATATTTATTTTTTATTAAAAATAAGTAAATAAACTTCACTTTTTTGTTCTTTATTTAAACAATTTACATGAAATGATGTATAAGCCTAAAAAAGAAGTATTAAGAAATATTGCAATAAAGAAAAATAAATTAATTCATATAATTATTGTACTTTATAAGATTTATAAATATTTTTAGCTTATTTATTTTATGTAAAAATTTTAATATTTTACTATTTATTTTAAAACAGCTAATTCAAACTTGCACGTCCTAGATATTAGTCTACTAAATTAAAAACTTAAAGGGACATAGAGCATTTCAAATAACCTGTAAACTACATGGAATAAAATAAATTGCTACAATTAACTGAATGAAAATATTTCAAATCAAGTGTAAGAGTTTTTAGATTTATATTAATGTAAAAGAATTTTACCCCTATTTCAATTAATATATTATTTTTATTTTTAAAAGTAATTTTGTTTAATTGTACAAGCCGAGCATGGACTAAGCTAGAAAGCCATTTCTTCATTAAAAAAAAAAAAAACTAATATGGTAGTAAAGTTTTGGCGCAGCTAAGCATAAAGAAGCCTGATCAGACTTTAAAATAATAAAAAAAAATATTAATGATACACTTTTTAATATATTTTTTAATTATTAGTTAAAATTTATAAAAAAAAATTAAAAAATTATATGAATCTCACTTTTAAATTAATATTTTTTCCTATTTTTTATAATTTTTAATAAATTTTAGTAAATAATTAAAAATATATTAAAAAAATACATTAAAAACTGTATTAATAAAATTTCTCAAATTATTTTAAAAGTTGCACAATTTGTTAAACCACCCATAAGAACCATATTTGGATCAATGTTGGCTCAGATAATTCATAACTGAGAATTGTGTTCAGAGCGGTTTGCCAAGTGCAATGCAAAAGCTATCTTTGGAAATGTTTTCTTTCAAAATATAAGACTTATATTTTATATCACGAGTAAATACGACAATTTAAAATATATTATAAATTTCTTAAGTCAAATTATTTTTCGAATTTCACATATATTAATACATTTATAAATTACAATTTATAATATTAACTTGGTTAAGTTTTGTTGGCACATACAACAATTTTATGTTTTCGTTAATAATTATAAAATTTTGCTTTATTTAGGCTTTATTTTTCAGTTAGAGATGTCTATATAAGTAAAAATTTATAGAAACAAATTATTTAAAATAAGAAATATCAAGTTATTGTCTATTTATTTGATATTGTATATTTAAATTTAAAAAATAAACATTCAAATTAGTATTTAGTTTAAATTGACTAGATTTAAAAAATTATATTTGAGTGAAATAAAAAAAAGTAAGATAATTTTAAAAAATATATTACATCATTCATTTAAAAACAGTTTATCTTAAAATTCTCTTATAATTTTGTATAAATTAATCAAGTTATATTATAAGATTAAATTATTAAAATTAAATTAAAAAACTAAAAAAATTATTTTAAATTAATTTCCATTTTTAAGGTTTTCACACAAATATTAAATATTTTAATTATGAAATAATTATATTATCTTTATTTTTTATGTTGCTTGTTAGCTGAGAAAACTATTATTTATTTAAGTCAAAATTAGAAAATAAAATATTAAAACACCATCTAATATGATTATTTTTAATAAATAATATTTACTTTAAAATATAGAGACTATTTTTCTCAATCAGATTATGTGATATCGAGTGAGTTTTGCATATATGATTGTAACTATATAATATTGGTTGCTCATTTATTTACTATTACAAGAAAAGTAAACTTTTTTTTATATAAAATCTTATTTATTCGTAAACATAATAATAATTTTTTAAAATATTTTATTTTTATTTTTTCTTTATTAGTTTTTTATTTAACACTAATTAATACTAAATTTTATAATTAGATTTTTATTTTTTATTCTTATTAAAATTATTACATTTATAACCTTTCCTTATAAAAAACTTATTAGAATTTAGTGTCTAACAAATTAAACGACTAATATATTAATAGATACTATTAACTTTAATAAATTAATTGCTAAGTTGACTAATAAAATTTTAACTCGACATTGTGTTAAACATGTGATAGACCTCTATTTTAATCAATATATAATATTTTAAAATAAATATTTAAATATCTTTTTGATTTCTGTAAAATATATTGTGATTGAGTTTCATCTAAAAAATGATTTTATTTTGATTTAGTTTTTAAAAAATTAAGTGTGTAAATTATTCAATCAATTAATGTGAGATTATTTTAGTTACTCGGCTTGAACAAAAGCTGACTTTTAAAAAAAAATTTCAAAAATTAATTTTGTATAATTTTTATAAAAATTAAAATTTATTTAAATCTCTATTTTAAAATACTTCGTATTGTCAAATATCAAATACATACACATATACTGTTTATTAACTATCTATTTAACCGACAAAAGAAGCAATAACTAATATTTTGGTCGTTTAATTTATAAAAACTAAAAGTATATTTAAAAAATTATAAAAAAAAATTAAAAAGTAACTTACGATACTCGTAAGAGCTTATATAAAAAAGATAATTTATTTGACCAATAAAAATATTTTTAACTCATGTCAATAAATTTTTGTGTCAAATTTACGATATAATTTGTTTATACAATAAAAAAGAATTGAATAAATATATAATTAAGTAATTATCTAAATATATCTTAAATCTTAATAAATTTTGTTTAAAGAAATCAATTTAAATATAATAGTTTTGATGGGTACTAAGAAATTATTTGTTATAATTATTAATAAAAAAAGCAAAGACTATATTTCTCAGTTCTCACGGTGATATGCCGTAGCTGTGCAGTGTTGACAACAACCGTTGACGTTGATAGAGCAGTCATTCTATTATATTAATCAACGCCGCTGATTTGGTTGACTGTGGTTTTTGAGAAAATTAAGGTAAGCAAGATTCATGGCGCAGCCTCTGTGGATCGCTTTTCAGGCTCTATGGAACATTGAATCTTAACTAGAGTCAGCCGCTACACACCAAATTCTCAGTTAACGTTCAAATTGTTGTACATAAACACTGAATTTTCTTTTTGGAAGCTCCAAAATCAGTGCCGAATTTTTAAATTAAGAAAAAAAATAGGCATCATGGTGCATTTTTGGAGCAGGAGTGGAAAATTTGAACACGAAACAAGCACCTAATTCACTCAAATTTGAATGTATTTTAAAGTTGCTTATACTACAATGGGTTATCGAACTTCAATAGGATGAATTTTATTAGCACTTTGATGGGTGGTTCTGTACATTACCCTTTTCAATTGATCTACGCCACTTTTAATTTATTAGGACAGGTATAACCCACTTAGAGAATATAATCACTTTTTATTAATGTTTTAATAAAAATTAAAAACACATAAAAATGACCAAGAAAGTTAAATTATATTTTTATTTTTGAAATTTTAAAAATTATAAAAAATAATACTCAAACAATGATTTCAAAATTGTAAGATTGATAGTCTTGAGTTGTATCCACAATTGTTCGATAAAGTTAAACTATTTAGTTTATTAATTATATTTTTTACTCTTTAAATGATAGACTTAGGACTTGTTTGATTGTAACGATAAGAAGATAAGATATGTTAATTAATCTTTTTTATCTTAATTATTTTATTAAGACAGTAAAAAGTCTTATCCATTGAAAAAGTGAAGGATTATGAACAATGGATAGAATAGTTTTCTCAACTTCTATCTCGTATCCT